CTGACGTTCAAGGAGAAGCACTGTGGTGCAAAACCAAACCAAACTGTGCTGCAACGGCTACACGACCATCAAAGTCTGCCACAGACCGCCAGCGACAGTCCCGGTGGCCATCCTGGACGATATGCGTCGATGGGCTGGCGATGGCCACTGTTTGATTTTGGGTGATTTCAATGTATCCCTGATTGATTGGGACGAAAATCGCTGCCTGCCGGGAGCGGACCGATTCTCCAGAGACCTCCTGGTAGTCGTGAACCAGCTGAGCCTGCATCAGAACTCCCGCGAGCCCACCAGGATCAACGATTCTGCTTAGTCAATCCTAGATCTGGTGTTATCCCCTCGAACATCGGACGTCGACATCATCGACCACCTCCCGCCACTCGGTTTGGGTGATCATTTGACCCTGCTGGTGCATTGGTGCCGTGGAGCTCCGTATCGTCTTCCAACACATTCCGGACCCAATGTCTGGAAAGCGGACTATGATGGCATGAGGATCGCAGCAAAATCCCTCCCATGGATGACCACCTGCCCTCAGGGAGTAGACCACGCCTGGATTACCTTCCGGGACGGTATCCTCGGATTGGTGGCAGCCTTCTCTCCTTCTAAACACTTCCGGTCACCAGCTATGGACTCCCCCTGGTTTGACAACAAGCTACGTCAGATGCTTAAGCGTCGAAACAGGGCATTGAAAGCGTTTCACGCTCATGGATCTAACTGTGACCAATACAAAGTGCTGCGTAATGCGTGCTCTGCAATAAAATTCAGAAAAGAGCGGGTGTACGAGGAGTCCCTGGCACCACAGGCCTCTATGCCGAAGCGTTTCTATGCATACCTCCGTCGCCGGACGCGTGCAACGGCTGACATACCATCCTTGGAGATTAACGGTACCCTGGCAGAAACGGATGTTGACAAGGTGNTGCAAGCTTTTGCGCAACACTTTGCATCTGTCTGCGCTACCGATACAACACCGCCCTCCCCCGGCTGTCGTGCTCTGTGCCTGTGCTATCTTGGCAAGCCATCTCAGTAGACGAGGTGCGTGATGCACTTTCGGCTTTGAAACCGTACCAATCACCGGGTCCGGACGGTCTGCATCCCATCGTGCTGAAGGAGTTGGCACCGGTCATTGCACCTACCTTGACCGCGATCCTACGCCCTCTCTTCAAGGGAGAAGCCCGTGGGGACCCTGCCAACTACCGCCCGGTCAGTTTTACCTGTGTGACAGTCAAGGTGATGGAACGTGTACTCGCCAAGCGACTCCGAGAACACCCCTACCGAACGATCTTCTGTTTCCGGAGCAGCATGGGTTCCGTCCTCAGCGATCTTGAGCCGGCTACTTGCTCGGGAGCAATGGGCGTCTGCCAAGGCCGCTGGCCACGAAACGGACGTCATCTTCATTGACTTCACTAGGGCATTCGAAAAGGTGCCACACGGTCGATTGTTGAAGAAACTGATGGCTCAAGGTGTCACAGGTCCTCTACTACCCTGGATTGACGATTTCCTCGTCCGACGGACGTTCACTGTCAGAGTTACCCAGACTGAGTCGCATCGCTATCCTGTCACCAGTGGAGTGCTACAGGGTTTTGTTCTAGGACCTGTAATGTTCCTCCTCTTCGTGAATGACCTGTCCTCCCATTTAAACTCATCTTGCCTCCTCTACGCGAATGATATCAAACTGTGGAGAGCCATGAGAACACCGAAGGAACACCACGCCCTCCAAGAGAATTTGGACACGTTACACCACTCGGCTGATGCCTGGGAACTTCCAGTGAATTCATCGAAATGCACTCATATGCGCCTGGGACGGGAAACACCGGATATTCCTTATCTGATGAACAACGTCCCACTGCGTTCAACGACTACCGAGAGGAAGACCCAGATGAACACCGGGCGAGCATGTTCTGCGGCAAGGAGCATGCTAGGTGCCATCCGTCGGTCGTTTGACGGCCTGTCGTTCACGGCCTTCAAGAAGTTCTTCGCCTCCTATGTTCGCTCCCGGCTTGAATACGGTGGACCCTCCTTATACCCCTGCGTGCTTTCCGAAATGGCCAACTTGTAACGGGTACAGCGCTAGACCACTCGCCTAGTCGCGGGAGTTCGTGGGATCAGCTATGAAGGTCGGCTCCAGGCACTTGAACTCCATTCGGTTAGCTACAGGAGACTCCACGGGGGTTTGATCTACCTGTGGAAGATTCTACGTGGTAATCTGGGACCGGAATTACGTGCTATGTTTGCACTGCGAGAATGCGATCGGACGCGCGGCCACAGGCTCACTCTCCGGAAGCTTGAGTCGACGTGGCTTCCTTTAGTTTATCGCCTTTCCCGGAGGGCGACCACTCTCTGGAATTCACTCCCGTCGGAGGTGGTGGAGGCGCAGCACGAGGCCCGATTCAAGCGCCGTCTCGACGAGCACTTGATGAGACGATGGCAGCTTGCAGATCACTGAGCGAGTTGCTATCGGTACCGGCGGTGAAGAAGCTCATACGGGGGGCGGCCCCCCTGCCTTCTAAACATGAAGATGAAGATCTTGATGTGGAGTTTGAAAATCTCTATGCAAAACTTTCTAATCTCGTTTCCTCGTCAGCCTTGGAGTTGGAAAAGCTGAAATCAACCTTAGTCAATGCATGCTATCAACCTCAGTGTGAAAGTAAAAACAAGCGAACTAGTGACACCGGAGCATCTCAAACGACTCAGAGACCTGCAGAAAAACAGAGAAATCATGCTATCCAAGCCGGACAGAGGGGGATTGTGCTTCTGAACAGCACAGACTATGTACAAAAGATGGAAGCTATATTGAGTGACAAGTCGAATTCACCAAAACAACAGAAAAGGATAAGACCGCCCAAATAGAGGTTGCCTTATCAAAGATATTGAGATGTTCAAGGCAAAATAAAATAATCGATGCGACCACTTTCGAACGAATCCGGTCAACTGGGACAACAATCATCAGACTGTACGGCTTGCCGAAGGTGCACCTAGAACGTCCAATTCAAGTTCAACGAGCAGATTTATCGACAAAAGGATGGTGTGGCTATGGGATCACCGCTAGGACCGTTGTTTGCCGATGCGTTCATGGCGAAACTCGAAAATAACCAACTCAGTTCTTCCATTCAGGATTGTGTGTTATATACACGTTATGCGGATGATATTCTGTGCGTGAGCAACACAATATCAGGAACAAATGAGCTCTCGAGCAAATTCATTGCTGCTCAATAGAACATAATATTTACTTTATAAATGGAAAACGACAACAAATTGGCATTTCTAGACGTCTGTTTGAGTCGTGGATCGGATGGCTCGGTGCATCGATCAGTGTATAGAAAGGCGAATTGGGAGGGCCAATATATTCACCTTCGCAGCTTTGTACCGCTCAAAGTGAGGAGGAGTTTGGTGCGCTGCCTAGCAGATAGAGCAAGGAAAATTTGTAGTGAGGACAAAATAGAAGAGGAGCTCCGATTCTTACGTACTATCTTCACACACAATAGCTATCCAGAACGGTTGGTTGGCAGGATGATTCAGTGCAGTGAAGATATCTTGAAGAAGACCGAGGTCAGAAATAATTCGGTATACATAGTCTTGCCGTTCAAGGGCGATACATCAGCAGAAGTAATACAAAGGAGACTATCCGATGCTGTTAGTAATACCTTCTATGCAGCAAAGCTCAATGTTTTGTTCACTTCCCAGCCAATTGTGTGTTTACGACTAAAGGACAAAATGCCGGATTCATCCGTCTCATTTTGT